CTTCTGAATAATGAAGATATTGCATCCACCAATCATCGACCAACGTAATAATCAATAAAAAAAATCTCATCAATCAAATGCTCATTTATGCATAATATTAGTATGCAATGTATTAGTATAAACATAAATAAACACTGTCACGGAAATTAAATTATTTGATTAAATTAGTTGATTAATTATTTAAAATTGAATTATATTATTTATTAATTCTTCCCAAAACTTAATGAATAAAAACTGCACCCACCAATCATCAACCAGTATACTAATCAATAAAAAAAATATCACCAATCAAATGTTCATTAATGCATAATTTTGTAATTGTATAAACATAAAAAAAAACTATCCCGGAAATTAAATTATTTGAAAAATTAAAAATAACAAACCTGAAAAAATACAAAACGAAAAAGCTCAGAAAGAAAAAAAAAAAAGGGGGTGAATGGGTGCTTAAAACAATGATTAAATGGAAAAAACTATCGGAAACACATTTCCTGAACTGGCTGAAAGAAATAATTACAAAATATTAGAATCTAATACTCTGAAGGAATCATGGACAAAAAAAATTTAGTAATTATTGGACTAGAAATAATTTACTTAGTTTTACGTTGCAAAGTCTGAATTGATTTTCCATGCTAAAATTTTGTTTAATTATATGTAAAATTCAAATTCCAATATAATTCAAAATCTATGTTATTAATTTTGAAGTGTCTATGATTAAAAAATAATTTAAATAAAAAAAACTACAGTATTTTTTAAAATATTATATTGAATGCTTTTAACGAGATGATCGTAAAATAATTAATGGACAACAAACATATTATATTGTTTTTATTTCTACTTTAATTATTGATCCAAAATACAGTAAAAAAACTGAATGTAAAAGTAATTTATAAGCAAAAAATATGTCTATGCTTTTAGATTAATTTCAAAATTTAAATATTTATAATAATATTGATTTAGTTTGCCTTATAAAACTAGATTTTTCAGTTTTCTAACAAATTTGTGATAAAAAGAATGAATTTTATAATATATTGTTCTTAAGCATAATAATTTAAATTTCTGAATGAAAAATTTATAAAAGTAGTACTATTAGTGTCAGTATCATTAGTAATAATGTATTATAAAAGTAGTGCTAATAATATCAATTTAAACAAGTATAACTATCCGTTTTTAAAAGTTTTATTAATTACAAGTATCATTTCATGAACGTTATATTTGTCGAAAATGCTGTCGATCTACAATTTTTTGAACTATTTACCACTCTACTTAACTGTAACCGTACTTCGGTGTAAGAATTTTTTCTCCCTGGATTTTAGAACTTTCTTGTTGGCAGTCATCCATGTAAGATGCAGTTTTTTTGTGTCTGCAATTTTATTATTTTTGTGCCATATCGGCATTGTAATATGTAAATAAAGTATTGTAAATATAGTTCAATTAACTCTCTACGTCCTGTCTTTTTGGATATCTCATTATTGCAATTAGTTGGACTGGAAATGTAAAATAAATTTTATACGACATTTTCTAGTTTAGCGCATTGTTTTGGTGAGGAGAAAAAATATTAATTACTAAAAACATAAATGCAAAAACTAAATCAATTAAGTAATAAAAAACATAATAAGATATCCAATTTATCCTTAAAACTCTTAATAATAGTAACTACGATTTAGAAAATTAGAATTTACGATTTAGGCAAGTTACTTAGAGATTTAGAGAACTTACATACAGAATTCTGGCTACGATTATCTGCTGATTTTATAAGGAATGACATAAAACTTGTAATAATATGACGTTCATCTAAAATTGTTCTTTTTTATTTCGTAACATATAATGAAGATAACAATTAAAAAATTATCAAATTTTATTTTAGTATACCATTATTTGGTTATTTTATTTTCATTCTCACCTTAGAGGTGAAAAATTTAAATGACTACAGATGGGAAAAATTCAGGCTATTAGTTCAATCAAGCCATCCTCATCAGATGGAATCGCCCAGTATTTGCAGGGATTGACTTTATGAAACGGGTGATACTTCAATGGATGCCTGGCCACTGTGGCATTTTTGGGAACGAGCAGAACGACGAGTTTCAAAACTACTTCAAATGAGATCTTTGGCACTACCACTCCCCTCCATTCTATAAAATCATATATCAAACAAATAATATCTCATAATTACAAGTTATAAACTCAAAATGAGATTTAGTCAAAGCGTTGGAGAGCTTTTAACAATGCCCAGTCATTCGCGACGACATGCAGTCACCCAGTACAGCCTTCTGACTGGCCATGACTGTCTAGCACAGGAGTCTCCAAACTACGGCCCTCAGGACAAACCCGGGTCGCCAGTGTCATCCATCCGGCCCGCGACAGCGAATAGCTTATTGTTTCTATAATAAGTTGAGTAAAAAAACCCAGGATGATAATAATTCGGTTTTATTTACTTGCTAGGCAAAGCTTAATGGCAAGCATAATACGCAGAAATTTTAACTTAAGCATAACAACTAACAAATAATTGAAATGAATCCCACTAACATTATAAACTAGTGAACATCCCGCGTTTAACCTCGGTAGTTATGTTGGGGTAAAGAGTATTGCATATGTATGTATATCGATGTTTGGAATGTATATATCTTGAATCAAACATATGATTTTTATCCTGAAAATCCCTCGGGAACAGAAAAGCTCAATTAACTCGAATGAAACTGCGGGGTATCCACTTCCAAAGAAATACTAATGAGATTTATATAATTGTGATATTCACTGACAATAGTTTGTAGTTAGCAAGCGTATGCTCGCTCAGAGCGCGTACTCGGCAACTGGTCTAGAAATTATAGATGATGGAAGAAAAATTAAAACGGTTTTAGCCCTAAGGCTAAAAAGTTTGGAGACTCCTGGTCTAGCAGAACATCACCATCGCATTAAAATCTTTTCGAATCCTGGCTGCCCCCTATGTAAATTCAGCAGATCCAATGAACAGAGACCACCTCCGACGATATACAGAACTTGACAGCGACTCGGAGACAGCGCTTCACTGGCGTGCGAGAGAACTGTTAAGGAAATGACTTCGGTCGTCTTTGTATTTTTTGGATGTTTATTCTTTTGTATTTTGAATTTTGCATTGTTACTTTTTTTTATTTGTATTTGCCTTTCTATTGAAAATAAAAAAAATTATTTCAAATAATGTGGAAGCAAAGAATATTTTTTTTATTAGAATATAGATAATAACTTATTATTGTTACGCGATTTTATGCAGTTGAATTTATATTGTTTTTCAAATGTAAGAAATATATATGTGCCTTCTGGTAATCAATTAAGCATTCCATAATTACTTATGACTTAAAATTCTCATTTGAAATTAAAGTATAAATTTTATCAGTATTTATAAAGAAATACATTTTTCAAATGGATTCGTAGCTATTTTTTGGAACGTGGTGATCGCTATAGCTTTGTATTCTAAATCTCAAGTGAATAAAAGTAAAAAAATCAATAATCCAATTAAGTAACTCGAATTACAAGTTTAAAATGTTAAAATTTCACACTTTATTGCTAATGTTGATTTATATCAGCCTAAATGACACTTGATGAGACTTTTATACTGATGTTTTCTCATTCAATTGAATAAATATATTATTAAAAAGTCATACCTTTCAATGTATATGCCTGCTATGTTAATATTTTCAGAAAACTTTAATAACAAATCTTTGTCAAACAGCTCTGACAAACACAACGACTGTTCCTATTAGTACAGATTAAAGTGCTTAACTTAACAAAATATTAAGGGGCATTTTTCCACAAATCATAATCATGCTTTTCCCCTGAAGACTGTTACCGAATTTCAATCTGAAATGAGCTGTGTTCCATTTAAATCTCAGTAGGATAAGTGGTGATTAAAATTTCAGCTTTCTCTAAGGCTTATATGTATCCAAAGGTTTGAATATTAAACAATTATTATATATTATTGTTATTGTCATATTTTGCCACCTTGTCATAATATCACAGCCTTTTTTACATAACTGGCTTTTAAGATTAAGATTCCTTTGCATGATTTATATTCGTTATAGTCTTATTTATTTCTGAAAAGTAAAATAGTTTCAGTTATCAGTTAATGAGTTTGACACTTTTACTTTGCTGACATGTTGTTTAAGTAATATCCTCTTGTGAATCTACCTTAAGATATGTTAGATAATTATTGAGAATGTTAATACAAAGTAATCGAATTAATTTCCAAAATAACATTTATTTTGCGAGTATGACTAACATATATTAACTTAACTTATTTATTTATTTAAAAAAAAGTATTATAGTAAAACTATGTAAATGTCATTTACAATATATTCATTTTCTTTGGATAAAATGAAAGTATTTATTAACTAAATCTAAATATAATGCATAATTCGATTGGTTAAATAACTTTTTGTTGAGTTTTCAATAAATCAAACCTATTAAATTTAATTTACCAATGCTGAACAATGAATTGATCGTTATATTTCTTTGGTAGTCACTCGGCCATTCTGTGCAAAATAGTCATAATAATAAAAAGGATTTATTGTTGTTACACGATTTTATGCAATGAATTTTATACTGTTTTGCAAATACAAGAATTATTACGTATAAGAAAAATATATATACCTTCTGATAATTAATTAAAGTCTTCCATAATTAAATATGCCTTAATGTTCTCATTTTGACCTGATTGCTTAGTGACTAGCACTCTGGTACCCGGTGTCAAAGTTTTCGGGTTGAAATCCCAGCGGTGCCAAGGATGCTTGTAGTGGTAAGGAATCCTCTTTAAACCGTAGGTACAGTTCTTACATGACTGTAGAAAGTTGGGTTGACAACCCTACCCCGTAAAAAGATAACGTATTCTGTCAAGAACTCTATCAGTAGGCAGACAGCCTTGGCCCACCACGGGGCCGTTGCGCGAATAAAGAAGAAAAATATTCTCATTGGAAATCCCTGTATAAATTTTATCAGTATTTATAAGGAAATAACCATTACCATAAGGCGCCAACGGCCATACCATGCTGAATATACCGGTTCTCGTTAGATAATAGAAGTCAAGCTACATTGGGCACGGTCAGTACTTGGGTGGGTGACCACCTGGGAACTATGCGTGACGTTGGCATTCACAAATTTGGGACTTGAATGGCCGAGTGTCTAGCGCTCTGGCACTCGGTGCACAGGTTTCGGGTTCGAATCCCGGCGGTGCCCATGGATGTTTGTAATGGTTCGGAATCCACTTTAAGCCGTAGGTCCCGGTCTCCTAGGACTGTGAGAGCGTCACGGAGCCGAAGTCAGACTTCTACCTACGGGTGCTCCATCACAACAGAAGCCGCTTCCTTCCCCTTCAATCATGAGTACATATGGGCTCGTGATCTTGGCCAGCCAAGTGGGATAAGAAACAACAAACAACATAAGGAAATAATTAATTTTCAAATGGAGTTGTGGCTATTTTTTGGAACGTGAGTATTGTATTAAAAATATTGTATTTAAAATTGTATTTTAAATCACAAGTAAATTAAAGCAAAAAAATTAATAATCTAATCAGATATTTAAACACGAATTAGTACTTTTATAAAATGAATACATTTGTTCACCATTTAATGGTAATGTTGATTTATAGGAATATAAATGAAACTTGAAGAGACTTTTATAATATTTCGTCTCCTTCAATTGGATAAATATGTTATTAACAAGTGATTCCTTTCAATGTATATGTCTGCTATATATTAACATTTTCTGAAAACTTTAATAACAAATCTTTGTCAAGCAGATCTGACAAACACTACGAGTGTTCATATTAGTACAGATTAAACTGCTTAACTTGACAAAATATTAAGGTGCATTTTTCCACAAATCATAATCATACTTTTCCCCCTAAAGACTGTTACCGAATTTCAATCTGAAATGAGCTGTGTTCCATTTAAATCTCAGTAGGATAAGTGGTGATTAACATTTCAGCTTACCTGCGTGCAAAGGTTTGAATATTAAGCAATTATTATATGTTATAGTTATTATCATATTCTGCCACAGTCTCATAATATTACTGCCTTTTTTACATAAATGGCTTTTAAGATTAAGATTTCTTTGCGGGATTTTTATGCGTTATAGTCTTATTTATTTCTGAAAGGTAAAATAGTTTCAGTTATCAGTTAATAAGCTTAACACTTTTAGTTTGCTGACATGTTGTCTAAGTAATATCCTCTTGTGGCCTACCTTAAGATATGTTAGATAATTATTGAGAATGTTAATACAAAGTAATCGAATTTATTTCAAAAATAACATCTATTTTTCGAGTATGATTAACAAACATTAAGTTCCCTTATTTGGTTATGTAAAAAAGTATTATAGCAAAAAAACGTAAATGTCATTAACAATAAATTTGTTTTCTTTTACGTATTATATGAAAGTATTTATTAACCAAATCAAAATATAATGGTTCTTTAGATTTATTAAATTGTTTCTTGTTGAGTTATTTAAAAAAATAATTGTTATATTTAATTATTTTATTTTAATTATTTATATTAATTTTATTTAATTTTTATTATCTTATTAAAATAATTTAAGTTTTATTATTTTATCTAATTTTATTATTTTTTTTATATTCAAATTTTATTATTTATTTAATTATTTATATTAATTTTATTTAATTTTTATTATTTAATCAAATTTTATCATTTTATTATTTACAAATTTTATTGTGTTATTTAAATTATTTATTGAAATAAATCAAACGTGTTTAATTTTAATTTAGTGTGTTTAATGTTTAAATTTAATTTAGCAATATTAAGCGATGATTTAATCTGTATGTTTCTTTGGTATTGATATGTAAGTCCTTCCATGAAACTGAAAAAGTCTTAAATTAATGTGGATTGTTGTTAACCTACCCAATCTCTTAACAAAAATAAAAAGAATTTTATAGAATCCCCTTGATTCCAATGACAAAATTAATTAAAAATGTTTTTTTTTTTTTTTTTTTTTTTTTTTTTTTTTTTGCAATGATGAAGGAAAGAAAGAAATAAAAAACAAACAGAAAAAGCACCATTTCTTTGGATTATTAAAAAAAAATAGTATTTATAAGAACTAAAATTAGAGATGGAATTAACAAAAAAAATAATATTGAAAGATTAAAAAAAAAAGAAAATTAAACATAACGAGAATAGAAATAGATGACTTGCATACTCAAAACAAAGTAAGTCAACATATATTTACTTTGTATCATATATATACAGGTTACTCATAACATTTAAAATTTAATGTAAAAAAAAAAAAAAAAAAAAATTGCACTGCAGCAATCTTTAACAAAGACAAGAAAAAAACTTCAAAATTCAAAGCAATTTCTTTTCATGAAAAATCTCTTTTTTACTTTGCAATGAAATTGCCTTTGCTTTCCCCAGATGATATTTTAGAAAAATTTTGCATTATTTAAATATATAATCATTAGCATGTGGAAGAAATTTAAATAAAAGATATGTATAAATAAATTCATGAAAGGAATTTAAATAAATGTTAAGTGTAAACAAGCTCGTGAAAGAAATTTAAATAAACCAATAAGAAGAAGTCGCGAATGAAATTTAAAAAAAAAAATAATAATAAACCATTAAGAAATGTTGAAAGTGTCAAGGAAACGAAAAAAATATCTAGGACACGAAAAAGGAATCAGGGAAAACGAAAACTTATCAAGGAAAATAAATAATTTATCAAGAAAACGAAAAAACCCGCATCTCCAAAACAACGCCGATTGTTTTATGGATAATTTTTTTTTTATCTCCAAAACAAAAAGTATCAGAAATATGAACATTTTGTTAAACACTCATCTAAAAAATTAAATTTATAACAGCAATTGAAAGGCAATATATCAACAACAAACAAGCAGTTGAAAGTAATATTAATATTTATATATATTGCTTTTGATGAGATTTCAAGGAAATAGCTGAAGAACCAGAAATAAATTTAATTTATGCTATCTTTCGTATTTTGTTAAACACTCATCTAAAATTCTTCAGATGTAATCTACTTCACTTTAAAAGCAATATAACAGCAATTGAAAGGCAATATATCAACAACAAACAAGCAGTTGAAAGTAATATAATAATATTTAATATATATTGCTTTTGATGAGATTTCAAGGAAATAGCTGAAGAACCAGAAATAAATTTAATTTATGCTATCTTTCGTATTTTGTTAAACACTCATCTAAAATTCTTCATGTGTAATCTGCTTCACTTTAAAAGCAATAAGTCAGCAATATATAAAAACTTAAGATGTATTGCCTTTTGATCAGATTTCAAGGAAGTGAATACCCTTAATATAATTTCTGTTGTCCTTTATAAGGGTAAAACAATTCATTAATTAATTTCTAGTATCATAATTTTGTTGCTCCTCCTCACTAAATTTTTTTATTTAATTTTTGTTTAAATTATTACATCATAAGTTTGATCATCAAAACTGTTTTTTCAGAAATTATTATCTCCTATTAATATTTTTTTATACTAAAGTATAGTTTATTTAAAACCAGAATGTTTTTTTTGACCCAGTGATGTTATAGTAAAGAAAACGAATACGACATAAAAAAAATAATTTCCTTAAAACACAATTCCCTATACATTTTACTTATTCTTTAAAATTCTAATTACTTAAAAAATCCATAAAGAACATAATATTTTTCAGTTAAAAAACAAATTTACGTATTGTATTTATGTTTAAGATAGATTTGTTTTCTAAATAACTTGACAAGCTGATAGATTAAAATGAGTATTATACTGGAAGTGATGTTTATTAATGATTATTACGATTTAATTCGCGTTTATTAATGATTATTACGATTTAATTAATGTTTATTAATGATTATTATGATGAAATTAATAATTACGAGATCATTTTTGCTTATTTTTAATCGGATAAATATTTTATTTTGCGTTTTTAGAAACACTTATTCGGATTTAAGGTATCTTAAATAGATTTAAGTAATTAAATTTTCTTGTTTAGCAATTATCGTTATTTTAATATATTTAATGTGTATTTACATTTTATCATTTCCTTTCAAATGTGACCCACAGACGATGAAGGTTGGGCATACTTAATTTAATAAAATATATTATTTTGACATAATTATAATAACAATATGATGCTAATACATCTCCTTCTAATCAAAGCAACAATAGTATTTATCAAAATCAATAAGACAACAATATAATTCCGGCTTATTCAAATAACCATTTTGTTGTACATTGATATGTTGTTGTTGTTGTTTCTTATCCCACTTGGCACACAACAACATATAGGTCCAATATGTGGTCTCATGGGAAAAGGGAGGGAGGGGGGGGGGTAGCTTCGGGTGTCATGGAGCACCCGTAGGTAGAAGTCTGACTCGGCTCCGTATCACTGAAGAAAGAAAGCAGTGCGTTTAGGAGGACATTTAGGGCGACAACCCCGCATTTGGCTATCGTATGGAAGAATACCCGGAAAACACCCACCAGTTAGTCCTACTCACGGGGCAAGATACTAATCATCACAAACGCCATCGAGGCATGAAATAGGACTCGATGATCAGGCTGAGTCTACAACAAAGTCACCAGCGGACTGACCCTCAGCAGGGGCATTTTGCCTCTGAACCATGAATTCATAAATATTGAAATTACAAGTGACCATCTTCTATTCAAGAAATTCTTTACCTGTTTTATTCCTTTGATAGATAGTTACCAATTCCCGTTGTACAACCACACATCATCAATATGTTTTGGTTTACATAATTATCACATATCTCTGTGGTAATGGTGTAAACCAAAGCATGTCGCTGTTATTTAAAAAATCAATATCCCTCAAAATCAATCAGCTGAAAGTAAACATAGTATTTATTTCATTATTCAGTGATCCAAAAAAAAAAAGGAATCGTTTTCTACCCTTGAAACTTATCACCTCTGTGATGTCCTTCCACGCATTATCCCTCCATCACTAGGGGGCCTTCCTTAATCCAGCTAATCCGCTATCTTGGGCCCCTCCTCACCCCTCCCCTCTGGTTGGACAAACTGACAAAGATATGATGGATTAGGAACGATCAACCGCCTACAATTTCCACCGCGAGCGGAATGAATCATTCGAGAGAAGGTCGCATGTGTCG